TATATATATATATATATATATATATATATATATATATATATATATATGCATGCTTTTGTTGGTCTCAAAAACACATTTTAAACATGGTTCAAAGTTCTAATGAAAACATAATTTTTTTTTCTTAAAATGGAAAAATAAGAAGGATTAAAAATTTCAGACCCACTTAGTACCCAAGCCTGTAACAGTTTTTCCTAACTCAAGTAACTTGTAAATTCTAAATGGAATTTAGAATTTTGTTTTCAGGATAACAGTACTTTGAGGAATCACTTGTTCTTTTTTCGGATGTAAATTTGTTTGTTTGTTGGTTGGTTGTTTTTTTTTTTTTGTTTTTGGAGACAGGGTTTCTCTGTGTAGCCTTGGCTGTCCTAGACTCACTTTGTAGATCAGGCTGGCCTTGAACTCACAGAGAACGGCCTGCCTCTGCTTCCCTGAGTGCTGGACCACAGGCGTGTGCCACCGCACCCAGCTGCGGGTGTAAACATCTTAAGGCATCCCCTCTTTGTCTCTAGACCACACAACTGAGAAGGCCATACACAGCTTTGACCTCAGTTCTGAAAGTGTTTCTTCATTTCGGTTTCCTTTGGGGAATCTTCCATATCAGACCCTGACTCCTGTGTAGACCCCTCTCCTTAGGTTCTCCATCACATCCTACCACAAACAGGCAGCAATTCCACGTCAGCTGGCTGCTCACCCCGTCAGAAACGAATTGAGTCTCCACATTCCTGCGGGAAGAGATGCCCTGCTTACCCAGTTTACAAAAATCTTCATTTTGCTTGTTAATAGCCTACTTCAAGTCCTAACTTTTACCAGCCAGTGTTCATCTCAAGCTTTACACAACAGTCCTCAAACTGCTAAAGCTACGAGTGCTGCTTTTCACAGGTGTAAGTTATATTTTACACGTGGCTGGCACCAATAACTGTTAAAGGAAAACTAGTGTAAGCCCATGTCCTGGTGTCTGCTGTGCCATGTCTACACACCTGGCTGGATATGGTGACTCACAACCATTGGCGCTAACCCAGACACACTCATTCCTCCTCTGCTTCAGGGACGGCCTCTGTGAATCACAGCTGGTTCCTTGTTCCAGAGGTTGATAACAGAGTTTCCAAATCCCATGAAAATTAGAGCTGTGCAAACAACCCCCCCCCTTTTATTTTTAGATTTTTTTTTTCCCTGATGGCCAGTGCCACAAAGCATGGAGAGTGTCTTTTTCCTCAGTGTTACTTCAGGCCATCTCAATCTCTGCAATTCAGGCATGATGGATACATAACAGTTTTCCCTGTGGAAGTATGTGGTTCCCAGCCTGAGACTCAAACAGAATCATCCGAGGGACTTCCCAGTGACTCACAGATTTCCTACCAATACATCCAATCAATTTGGTCTTGCCTACCAGGTGGACCACCCCAATTCTGGCTGGGGACCTTAGTAGAGGTGGGAAGTGGTGGTGCCCGTCTTTAATCCCAACACTCAGGAAGTAGAGGCAGAGGCAGACAGATCTCTGTGAGTTTGAAGCCAGCTTGGTCTACAGAGCAAGTTCCAGGACTGCCAGCGCTATACGGAGAAACCCTGTCTCAAAACAAAAACAAAAACAAACAAACAAAAACCCCAAACAAACAAAACAAAACAAAACAAAAAAAGAAAAGCTTAGTTCTGGATATACAATATTTCTTTTCAGAAGACACTAATCATCCTTGTTAGTGGAACCTGAAAGAAGTGTACCCACACTTCTAGCTACCTAGAAACTCCGTCTCATCTACAGTTATTAAGAAAAGTGATGTTGCTGGGCATGGCGATGCATGCCTTCAATCCCATCAGCAAGGGGACAGAAACAGGCTCATCCCTGCACGATATAGACCAGCCTGGTTCACAGTGAGTTCTAGGCAACCAGAAAACAAAACAAACAACAACAAAAAAGCAAAGCAGTGCTTCTTCATAGGAGGGAAATCACCCTTTTCCCATAACAGTAGCAAATATTTTTGCTTTGAGAGTCATGCAATTTGTTGCAATTTCTCCACTGTGGCTTCATAGCAAGAATGCATGAACAGTCCAGGTGGGAGTGTCTCCAGAAAACTTTGCTTATAAAACAGGCCACTCTGGTGTTGAGCCCCTCTGCTGTCCCACCAGAAGGCTCTACGTTTCAGCTCTCCATCGGTAAGGTTCTGGCAAGTTTCGTTTCTCAGCCACTTAAATATAAATATAAACCATCCCGCAACACTGCTGGATTTTAAACCCTTCCCGTCGAAGCTTCTTGACTTGGAACCTCTGTCTACCCAAAGCCGTACTGTTCTCTTAGCGAACAGTTAGTTTGGACGTCTCTTGGTGGTGGAGAGCAGCTGAACACGTGATAAACAAGCTGATGAAAATGTTGCTTACGGCGCCAAATGGGATGTGAGAAAGGCCAAGTTCACGGCCCTCTGGTGCTTGACTCACCTGGGCACACACAGTTGCACCTGATGCCCTGCTGGATGAAGTCGGCAGCCACAGACTTCGTGAGGCCGATCACAGCCGCCTTGGTGGTACCGTACACACATCGGTTTTCCACCCCTGGGTGGGAAGGAATTAGACATTGTCTCCTTTAGAAGGGATACAGGGAGCCCCCACCCACCATTCTCAGACTTCTTCCCATCACTGCTCTTTTATGTACTTATTTTTAATTAAAAGAGACATGTTTTGGAAACCAGCTTTCCCTTTAAGGAATGGCTGACCGTGGATCTTCTCTGGTAACAGGGATCCAGAGAGTTTCTGAATGCAGAGAATGCTACCAGTGCAGGCAGAACCTGACTTAGACTTTGGTGTTGAGGTGCTGCGCTCCGTTTACAGCAGTCACCTGCTTTTCACTGTCGGTACAACCGGTAGGAAACCCCCGTCCCTTCTTAGAATCTTCGTAAGCGAAGAAACGCAAAGCTCACCTCCCTTACATTCTGCCCACGTGTGTGTCATATATTAAGAGAAAGAATGCCACCTCAGCAGTGATTTCATTCATAAGCTCACCAATCCATCAAGGCCGGGCTGTGACATACCCTCTCTCCACTTGGTCCTAGCTCTTTGCCTTGACGTCTCTTTCAGGGTCCAGAGCCCCCGTCTGTGCTACAGCCACACAGGCACAGGCTCCTCTCCTGTATGGTGTGCTTTGTGCGAACATCTGCTATACTGCAGAGCCCAGAATCTGAGGCTGAGTCTGCTAGTGCACACCTGTGACCTAGCACTTCAGAATGGGATTGTGGAGGTCAAGTAGCCAGCCTTGGCTACCTCGTGAACTGGAAGCCAGGGGCTACCCGAGACACTCTGAGAAGCACAAGTCAGAATTTCTCCCCGTGTACTGTAGATGCTTTTCTTTCTTTCTTTCTTTCTTTCTTTCTTTCTTTCTTTCTTTCTTTCTTTCTTTCTTTCTTTCTTTCGTCCTAAAGTGCATCCAGCTGGCTTGCACTCAACAGATCATTTTGTAGCACTTCAATGATAAATCTTTTCTTCTCCTAACTCAATTTTCACCTCCATGCATATAAAAGGAATAAAAGGAAAGGCAAAGACAGTAATTAAAAAAACATTAATAAGTGGCACAGATGACATGTGCCACTTATGATTGTTTTTTGTAAAAGCCATTTTGCATTGTCATATGGATTTTATGAATTTGTCTATGCTTAGTTCTAAAATCCACAGCTCATGAAAGTGTGTGTGTGTGTGTGTGTGTATACTCAGCCCCCACCTACACTCTGATGAAGGTAACATTACCTTTGATGCTGGAGGCCACTGAAGACATGTTGATAATGTTGCCAGATTTCTGAGCAAGCATCTGCCAAGGTAGAAAGAAACATCTCCACTCTACAGGTCGGAACACTCATTCATTTACACATTTGCATTGACTCCTAGCCAGATAGACCCTTCTTCTTCTTCTTCTTCTTCTTCTTCTTCTTCTTCTTCTTCTTCTTCTTCTTCTTCTTCTTCTTCTTCTTCTTCTTTTTTTTTTTTTTTTTTGTGACAGGTTCCTGCACTGTAGGACAGACTGCTCTTAAATTCAAGATCCTCAACAGGCATGTGCTACCAGGTCAGGCTCAATTTGATTATTTTATTAGCTAATAGTCTTCATGCTAACCCACAGTCTTGTAGAGAGCTAGTGTCATGTCTAAAGACCCACTGGCATTTCTAAGGCATGCTACTACCTCCTGTGGGTACAACACCATTATTAGTAAGACCAAGAATGGACCCTGGGTCTGGAAAGATGGCTCAGTGGTTAAGAACACCCTCTGCAATTCCAGAGGTCCTGAGTTCAATTCCCAGCACCAACATGATGGCTCCCAACCATCTATATTGGCATCTGGTGCCCTCTTCTGGCGAGCAGGTGTACGTGCAGACAGAGCAGTCAACTATATAAAGAAAGCACCCTGAGTTAAAAGGAGTTCATCGAACATCAGCCCACTCCCAATGTGGGCAGATAATGCTTTATTCAACATGAATGGAGAGAAGAGCTTCTAAACTCAGGGATTACACAGCATCCAGGAAACGGAAAGACAGCGGACATAGTCCCTGCCTACTACTGTTACTGGAGTTGTTGACATAACTAGAAGGCAGTTAGAGACCTGTAGGTAGCTGAGGAGAGAAAGGACCTCTCCAGGGCTGGGGGCAGTCCAGGGGGCAGTTACTGAGAAGGAGGAGGTAAAGGGCTAAAACTAGAATGTCCGTCATGGGACGAAAAAGCAAAAGCCGAGGTGCTTCAAGGAGGAGTTGTCACAATAAGGTTTCTGGGAGGGACCTGGGAGGAGGGCTGGGCCTGACTGGAAAGCAGCCTGGGAGGAATAGGCTGAGGAGTGGAACCTAGGCCGCTGTGAAGAATGTGGCCGCAGAAGAATGTTACTGCACTGCAGTAACACTGAAAGGAGTAAGGTGGAAGAGAAGCAGCACCTTCAATGTGGAGATTACAGAGATTGGTGCCAGGCGCAGATCAGGGGAAGCAGAAGCAGGAAGAGCATGGGACAAGTGGAGATACAGAAAGACCCAGAGCACAGCTGGACAGTGCTGATGAGGATGCTTGCTTGAGGGAGCACCTCAACAGGAGAGAGCACTCACACAGCAGGACAGTCAATCAAGAACACTTCCTTTAGCATCCCCTAACTAAAATGTGACACTATCACGGGGAGGGGATAAAAGAACACACTGGGCAGTGATTCACTTGGTGCAAGTCTTAGATGTAGATGGAAGGGAACTGTCCAAGGTCAGGTACAATGAATTTCAATTTAGATGTTATTGGCCATTACCCAGATGCATGTTTCCAGATAACAGGCAAAGGTATGGGCACTCACGAATGTTTTGGGGGAAAGAAGCAAGGAGTTCAGTGAACGTCTAGTGTTAGGTACTGGTTTCTCTGTGAAATCACTTGGCAGATGAAGGGCACAGAAAAGAAAGCAAAGACAATGGAGAGCAGCAAGAGTTCAGAGAAGTGCTAGAACTCAAGCTAGAGAACAGGATGTCTGCCATGTTTGTAATATCATGAAAATCAACTAAGGATGGATTTCCAGACATTGAGTTTAACAGGTGGCACAAAGGGCTTTGAAAACAATCTCTCCTCCTGGATGATTTTCTTTACCCACGTGGAGAAGAGATGTAGAACAGGAGTTTGGTGACCGATGGATCTAGAGCTGGGGTGGCTAAGACAATCCACTTCCTGTAGTATTTTTCTTACATTTGTGTTAATACTTGGGGTTGGTGGTACCCAAGATTAAAGAATACAGGACAAAGGGCAAGGCCCTAGGCTGCATGACCTCACAGCACACAGGTGACATGGAGGCGACCAGCCATGCCAAGGAACACAGCAGAGGGAAAGCAATGTTTGACTGAAATGTTCCTTCATGTGTTCTTTTGCTTTTTGGTTTTTGAAGACATGGTTTCCCTGTGTAGCCCTGGCTGACCTGGAAATAGCTCTGTAGACCAGGCTTTCCTCAAACTCAGAGATTTGCCTGCCTCTGCCTCCCAGGAGTGCTGGGACTAAAGATGTGCACCACCACACCTGGCTACAATGTGTCTTTGTATATGGGCACCATATAACCAAGCATAATGCCTCCTGTCCCACCCCTTCAATCCTCTCACTCAGAGGTAGAGAATGCAGATCTTTGTGACGTTAAGTCCAGTTTGGTCTACGTGGTGAAGTCTAAGCCAGCCAGTGATATGTAGTAATACTGTCTCAAAATAATGAGGGGTAGGGGACAGATAATCATATAGGGTGAGGAATGGACATGATATATAATGATGCAAAAAACAAAACACCCCAAGCTTTCAAATAAAGTTTTTTCTTAACTGGTTTATCATTTCTTTCTTATCTGACATAACACACTTTTTTGTTTGTTGGTTGGTTGGTTGGTTGGTTGGTTGGTTAGTTATTTTTTTGAGACAGGATTTCTCTGTGTAGTCTTGTCTATCCTGGACTCCCTTTGTAGACCAGGCTGGCCTTGAACTTACAAAGAACCACCTGCCTCTGCCTCCCCACGTGCTGGAATCATAGGCATGCACCACCTCACCCAGCTGATAAGACATACCTTTAACACTTAGAAAACACGCACACCTCAGTTTAGTATGTAGACTAGCTCTGCTAAAGGATGTCTCCAGGCTTCTGAAAGTCAGTAGTTTCCAAGATGCAAGTCATATGTCTAACACTCACTGTGCCCCTCAGTTCTGCCTTTTGTTTCTACTGCTCTGTATTCCTTGTTTCCAGGCTGCGTCCCAGCGACAGCTCTATGCCAGCTGTCATGGTGCACTGTTCCTCTTGGCTGCCTGTGCAACAGCACTTTCTGGCGGGGTGACTATGAGGTGAACAATTGGTCTTCAGGAAGTAAATAAAAAGGAGATCCAAAGAACAAAGACACCCCCACATTTTTGCTGAAATGGATCTTCTCTTCAGCGTACCAGGCATTCTGCAATTACTCTTCTAACACTATTTGCAACTTGGTCTCTCCCTCCTGACTGGCCTTGCAACCTAGGGATGGTTTGCTGTGTACTTTTCTGTGGACAAAATTCCTGTGTTTTGACCAAATGACCTCTCAGATGTACATTGGTTTTACATCCTGGAAAATTTTAACCTGGTAATTGTGTGTCATCATTAATGGTACAGAAAACAGCTGGAAAATTAGGACTGGCAGTGATGTGAAATGTGTCATCCTCATTCTCTGACGGAAGAGACAGACAATGAGAGGGTGCAAATGCCATTTCCTAGGATATGTTGCCTAGGGGCTCTGAGTGTGCTTAGGGACTCAAGGGTCCAAGGCAGGCATCAAGATGGTCAGCGTCATCTTTCCCACTAAGGCCAGGCTTTGCTCAGAGCTTCCAGTGCTGAGGTTACAGATGTGTGCCCATGCTCCTGTGTAAAAGCCACTTGGAACAAGTGGTGCCGAGACCTTCTGGTTCCACATCCCAGTCCCTGATACTTTTATTTTTTTTTGTAAAAACAAAAATGCATTTTTATCACTGTTGGGATCAAGAATTAATGATCTGGCTTGGGTGTATTAAAAAGCTAACATTTCTTTACGAGCCTAACTTCCACCTGCACTGTTCCTCATACCCACTGTTTTAGACTCATGCCATTCCAATGAGCTGTGTGTGTGTGGCGCTATTTTGTCCTCTGTGACCTCGCTTTCCCTTTCAGTTTCTTCCACAAATCCTCTACAAAGTATGGTCTTCAACAGATACTTTGTCCCAAACGACATCTATAAACTCTAAAAGAGCAAAAGGCTAATGTTTTTATTTATATCTATTTACTCCTTTTAAAGGTTGACTTCATTTCTATTCATGTGGATATGATTCTGTGAGTGTATGCTGCATGGGAATGGGATGCTCCAGAGGCCAGAAGAGGGTGTGGAATGCTGTGGGCTGCAGTTATTACAGGGAGCTCCACAGGGACTTGAACTCAGGTCCTTAGGAAGAGCAACAAGTGCTCTTAACCTCTGCATCATCCTCCAGCCCGAAAACATACTTTTGAAGGGATAGCTAATTCAGTATTATGTGGTTTGACCAAAGATCCTTTTTAAGCACTAAGGTAAAAAGCATACTTGAAGCTGGCTGTAGTGACACATGCCATTAATCCCAGACCTTGGGAGGAAGAGGTAGTTGCATCTCTGTGTTCAAGGTCAGTTTGGTCTACATGGTGAGTTCCAGGACACCCAGAGCTACATAGTGAGGCCATGTCTTAAACAACAAAAACAAAAAGCATACCTTCACTGCATCTGAGCTGCTTCTGTCTTCCATGAGTCCCACTCACTGTCTGCTACTATTGGTTTAAAAGCTCATGTCAGGTCAGGGTTATACAGTTCCTACACGCACATTCTTCCAGAGCACCCAGAAGAGCCCTTCACTCCAAAAGGCATGTAATGGTTTGTTTGAAAAGTAAAACGTCAGCAGGGTTTGGTGGCGCTGTAAGACCTGGGGTCTCACAGCTCAGGAGTTCAAGATCGAGCCCTTCCCAGAAACTCCCCCAGACCAAGACTCGTTGCAAAAGCAAGAGGTTTATTAACCATTGTGCAATGGGATCACCCCTGCCGGTCAGCAAAGAGTGGCACCGGGAGACAAAGGCCTTTAGGTTTTTAAAAGAAAAATTGTGGGAGATTTGAAGTTGCAGTCTTGGCAATTTAGGATTGGATGAGGAAGTTATAAAGTAAGATAATTGGTTAGTCTTAGGTGCTCAAGCTTGGCCAGTCCTGCCAAGTGTGGATGCAGCTGCAATTGAAGGTGGGGGTGGTTAGCTCATCCTTGAAGATTAGGGGCTGCAGACTTTTGGCTGGAGGTCAAAAGCTACTCAGAAGAAGTCTAGGTTTGTTGCTAAGCAATGCTATCTCAAAGACAGGAGTTTTTCTTTTTGCTGAGTGAAGGTCATTGCTTGCTTGCCTTTTTTTTTCTATCTGTCCTCATAGATAGGGTCACATTTTTCCATTCTCTGGAAAGGTACTAAGAGGCTTTAGCTTAACCTGAACCTAAAACTCAAAACTATAGGCTTTGGAAGACATACAGGTTACAAAGTTAGTCTAACCCTTTCAGCGCACGCCTTTAATCCCAGCACTTGGGAGGCAGAGGCAGGCAGATCTCTGTGTGTTTGAGGCCAGCCTGGTCTATATCGAGTTCCAGGCCAGCCAGGGCTACATAGTGAGACTCTGTCTCAAACAAAAGAATGGAGCTGGAGAGATGGCTCAGTGTTAAGAGCACTGGCTGCTCTTCCCGAGTGTAACTCTAGTCCCAGGGGATCTGATGCCCTTTTCTGGCTTCTGGGAGAATGCAGATATACATTCAGGCAAAACACCCACACACATGAAATAATGAGAACTAAAACTAAAACAAAAAAGCCCATAAGTCTTTGTGGTGAAAAAAAGCCCTGGGGTACAAGCACCCAGTGTGCTCAGACCCAGGAGGGTGAGCTACAGGGCTGCATGAACAGACTCTAATCACTTGCTGGTTGCATGAGCCTGGGTGCCTTGCCTCCCCTCTCAGTTTGCCCTCTGCGTAGTTAGCTGACGTGATGAAACATCCTTCACCTCACAGGACTATTCTGCTCCTGCAGCAAGGAGCCGGGCCACCTCCCCAGACACTCCTCCATTTATTACGTTCTCTCTGAGAATCCCAGTTTGCCAGTGAGGTTCCAGGGGGCCACACTGTTACCCTAGCTCCTGAGTCTGCATTATACGCAAAACCACCCCAACTTAACACTGCGTATTATATGACATATTTATATGTCAATTGAGTTTCTCACCCCTCCAGAATGGGAATTCTCTTCAAAATAGAACTTTTGTTAAGTTCACTGGAGGGTCTCCTCAGTGGAGCTTAGCACATTGGAAATGCTTAATAAATAATCCTTGAATGTAAGAAGGATTAATGGAGGGTTAAATGGCTTCATCACTATAAACTGCTTTGACATAAATGCTCAGTGCACCTTAGTCAACCTGCTATGATCACACTGAAACACAAATGTGCATCCTCTGTGTGCCCAGGATGAAAGCTGATACCCTGTTCAGGCCGTCAGTCCTCTTACTTTGGGAAGGAAGGCCTTGATCATCAGGTACATGCTACGAACGTTGAGATTCATTGAGAAGTCCCAGTCTTTATCCTCACAATCCAGGATGGTGCCATGGTGGACAAAACTGAAAGAGTGATTAAACAGGGGAAGAAACACGATTAAAGAATCAGTAGGAAAGTACTTGATCACATACTCTGTGTACAATCCCTAGAATTATAAGAACAAAACAACAACACTCACACACAGACACACAGACACACAGACACAGACACACACACACACACACACACACACACACACTTCTACCATTAGAACCTTTTCTAAACTGGGTGGTGGTGGCATACACCTTCAATCCCAGCACTCAGCAGGCAGAGGCAGGCAGAGCTCTCTAAGTATGAGGCTAGGCTGGTCTACAGAGTGAGTTCCAGGTCAGCCATAGGTACACAGGGAGACCCTGTCTAAACAAAAACAAAAGCTAGGCTGAGGACATAGCTCTTGCTGCCAAGCCTACAGACTTGACTGTGTTCAGTCCCCAGAAGCTGCACAGTAGAAGGCGGCAACTGACTCCTGCGAGTTGTCCTCTGGCCTCGACATTCATGCCGCAGAGCTCACCCTCTCACATGCTCAGTGAGTGCACCGGAAACATCAGTGCTTTTAAAGACAGACAGGAAATGAGGAACACTGACTGCGCCATTTGATTTCTGTTTCCAGGGCAACAGTGCCCTCAGGTGGCACATGCTTAAAGTTCTACAGGGAAATCAGAACTGGAAGGAAAACCAGTGCCTCTAATTATCAGTGTAGCGAAGGAACATTGCGGCCGTTGGCATCGAGCACAGAGCACAAAGAAGGAGGAACAAACAAAATCCCAAAGATCCTAATCCTAAAGTCAACGTAGTGCGTCTCTCTTCCTCAAAGATCTTTCTTTCTTTCTTTCTTTCTTTCTTTCTTTCTTTCTTTCTTTCTTTCTTCCTTCCTTCCTTCCTTCCTTCCTTCCTTCCTTCCTTTCTTCCTTCCTTCCTTCCAAGATTTATATATTTATTTTGTGTAGATGAGTTCTCTACCTGAGTGCCAGAAGAGGGTACCAGATCCCAGTATAGATGGCTGTGACGCGCTATGTGGTTACTGGGTATTGAACTCAGGACCTCTAGAAGAACAACCAGTGCTCTTAACCGCTGAGCCATCTCTCCAGCCCTCAAGGAAGTTTCTTGAGGCATCCTTACTGACTTGGTCCTCTGGACTGAGATTTCATAGTCAAATATAAGATGTGGTTGGGAGTGGTCCCCATATGCTTACAGGGCTTCCTGTTAGTCACTCAGTCAGCTTATGGTAGCAAGAGCCACATATACAGCCTTGTAGAAGGACAAGCAGATCGTTTATGAAAGAAACACCAGCAACCACTGCTCTGATTAATGTCCAGACTTTACATAAGTACCCACTCCTTTCATTTGCTTTAACTGCCAATGGGCCCCAAGTTCACATCAAATGACACAGCTGTCTCACTAGCTGAATTATGCAGTGATGTGTGACATCTAGCTTGACTTCCCAAAAAATATGCCAACTTCTGTCAATGAATCATTCTTTCATACTATCAATATTCATTTAGTAAAATCATAGAAAACTTTCTTAAACAGAAATAAAAGGTTTCAAATTACCCAGCAACATTAAAGAGAACATCGATTCTCTCAACTTCTGAGGCAAACTGATCAATTTGCTTTTTCTTTGTGACATCAAGGACTCGAGTTTGAATACCTAAAGAATAAAGTAAAAGATAGTATTTACACAGAACTCATAAAATATGAAACCTTGAAGATTTGTCTGTTTTGTGGCATGAAGAATGTAGCATTTCCGTTTAGATAACATATGAATCGAGGCCATCACTGGCATTTTAGCAATCTCAAGAGTGTCATTAAAATGCACAAATCTCAAGCTGGAGTTATGGCTTAGCCTGAGATCTACTTACTGCCCAATCAGAGGACTGGAACTCACCTTCCAGGAGTCACATCAGGTGACTCAGATACCGGAACTGACATCACCTTTTGGCCTCTGTGGGTACTCCCATACACACATGCTTACACACACATAAATAAAAAATGAGACAGACCTTTAAAAAAAAATCTCTTTTAAAGATTTACAAATCTTCAAGTGTCATCTCTGTTAGGCCTGGCGCTCGGGAGGCAGAGGCGATTGTGGATCTCTGTAAGTTCGAGGCCAGCCTGTTCTACAAAGTGATTCCAGGCCAGCCAAGGCTACACAGAGAAACCCTGTCTCAGAATAACACCTAAACAAGCATATCTCTGTTAGGGTCTAGAGAGATAGCTCAGCAGTCGCTTTTCCAGGTCATCTAGGTTTGAGTCTTAACACCTCCATGCTGGCTAAGAGCTGTCTGTAATTCTAGTTCCAGAGGCTCCTACCTCCACGAATATTGCACTTACTTGATGCAGATAAACCATCCATACACATAAAATAAAACTTAAAAAATGTAAAAAAAAAAAAAAAACCCTCTGAATTTTTCTTTTCAATGAATTTCACTTTTCATGAAATGTCTTCATTTTCCTTTCAGCAAAATAAAGGTAATGATAAAATGCAACAAACAAAAACCAAGAGACCAACTCATTTCCCACCTTTAGCTTTTTAGGGGGCCACAGAAATTTGTGCAAGAACACAAGAGGATCGTATCATATGACGTGGACAGGGCTGCTCCAGGGGAGTCATGGGCAGCAGCGAAACAGTCATTAATCGTTAACCTGGCAACTGTTAATTCTCACAGAACTTTGGGATCGGGAGCAAAATCCCTCAACACGTTGCACAACAGAAAACCTTAAGTAGGTACCTTCAAACATGCCCCTTACCCTCCTGACTGCGCAGACAATTTTCTGTAGGTCACGGAATACAGATTCGCTCTGAAGGAGCCGCACTCTAAGAGGCAAGTGCCTGGAGCAGCTAGAATTGCACTTGCTGCCGTATCAGAGGGCTGGAACTCACATTCCAGCAGTCACATCAAGTGACTCTCAGATACTCATGCCTTTACTTTCTCACAGGAACCTACAGTCAGCTTGCTCACCTGGGTAATTTTCCAGCTCCTGGAGTTTGAACTCATTGATGTCTGTGGCTATGACTTTGGCTCCTTCTTTTGCAAAAGCCTACCAGAAACAAAACGCAAATCAGTCCTTCTCTTACTTGAAGAAGTTGCTCTCAAAAATAGAAACCACTTTTTCTTTTCATTGTATTTTTGTTTTGACTAAAAAATAAGCAAAATTACCATCTAGCGAGTCTCGTTTCCCCTTGCCCCACTGTGGTTATTTTGATCAGTCATTAGAGCAGCATAGAGTGCATTACATTTTCCATCTTGCTTTGTCCTTCTGTTATCAAAAGATAGTGTTAAAAAAAAAAACTTGCCAGGTGGCACAGGTGCATTTGAGGGCAGCCTGATCTACAGAGCTAGTTCCAGGGACAGCTAGAATTACACAGAGAAAGCTGTGTTGAAAACCAAAGCAACAAAACCTCTAACTCGAGGTCAGAGAGATGGCTCAGTGGTTAAAAGCACTGGCTACTCTTCCAGAGGATCTGGGTTTGTTTCCCGACACCCATAGGCAGCTCAAAATTGTCTATATCTCCAGCTACAGGAGATCTGATAGTATGTACTTGGTATATATATGTAGGCAAGTGTGTATATATGTATAGATATATATGTATCTACACGGAGTTTCTAGGACAGCCAGGGCTACGTAGTGATGCCAGTTTCAACAAACCGACAAATAAACAATTCCTCCAACTTTGTTTCTGAAATAATGTTATTCTGTAACGAGAGCCTACCTATGTTTTACTTCTTTAATTTTTTACACTTATTTATTTATCGCGTGTGTGTGTGGGGGGGGGCTTGTGTCATGGCAAGCGTTTGGAGGTAAGAGGACAACTTAGTGGAATTATTTCCTCCCTCCTCTTTCCAGGGGTCAAACTTAGGTCTCAGTGCTTGGGTGGCGGTTCCTTTACCTGCCGAGCCACCGCTATGGCCTCATGGGCCTTTTGTGAGAAGAATGGCAAGTTTCCCTCCGAGGACTACTACAATTTCCTCAGTGGCAGCTCCCACTCTGCATCGTATCCTGCCGCATTATCAGTCAGGCAAGGGTGCAACGAGGGAGACACTGAGGCGCCTCAGCAAAAAATGGGAGAGCTTTTATAACTCCGGGGTCTTAATCTTGAACTGACATAGTTGCAGAGAGCCCCGCAGCCTCTAGGGCCCTGACAGTTTATTACAGTGCAGAGAAAGTGGGGCAGAGAAGCACGATTCTCAGAGTCAAAGGATATGTGATGCTACGTCAGCACAAGGAATCCCTTTCGTTTTCTCTGTCAGGAACAGTGACTTGACTTCTGATACATGACTGGCAGGATGGCTCGGTGGATAAACACACTCAACACACAAGCCCGGAGACCCGAGTTCAATCCCTGGGATCCGTGTCAGAGAGAAAGAAAGGAGAGAAACAATTCCACAGAGTGGTACATGTTCTAACCCCCACCCTCACAGACACACACACACCCACACACACCCACACAAATAAAGTAAAAAGACATCAGAAGTGTAACAGGTAAAAACGTAAGCAAAAGGCTTTAAATACAGCTCAGTGGCAGGCAGGAGTCTATGCTTAGCACACTTGGGGTCCCGGGTTCAATTCCAAGCTGCAAAGAGAAAGAAAGATCAGAGGAAAACTGAAGCAAGGGGAGAAGGAAGGAAAGGGAAAAGGGATAGAACGCAGCAGATGAGGACTAAATAACCCTGGTGCAAGACAGCGCATCTCAGCACTTGGAGAGCAGCAGGTATGGTATGAACTTACCAGTGCAGAAGCCCGGCCGATCCCTTGGGCGGCAGCAGTCAGGACAATGACCTTCCCATCCAGTCGGCCCATGGCAGAACCTGAGGTGTAACCAAGGACACACACCGTTAATGGCTCAAGATGTAGCAAGTCAAGTGTGCAGGCGGTGATATCTGGAGGGCAGACCTCACCGCACCCCGTTAAGGACGCGGGGAAAGCAAGCTGTCCCTGCATTCAGCTGCTCATCAAAAGGGCATAGCACTGAAGTGATGACTGCTGAGGGACACTGGGCCGGAATCCAGCTTTTGCTTCTGTCTCATCCTCTAATGCTGAGACCAGATGGGGAGAGTTTCCTCTTCCCCATTGCCTGGCCTGTGTTTGATGGGTTCGTTTCTGTCTGTCCTTGCTGTTTGGGGATGTTTTTCAGTTTCTCTTCTGAAAACCGTTAACCACAGCTATGGCATTTTATAAAATTCCAACAGTGTCCCGAAGAGTCAGTAATCAGTGTTCCAGGAATAAGGTCACTCATTTCCTAGATTTCTCCCATTGCCTACCCCCCTTCCTCTCTACAGACTGGTCATAGGAGATACTGGGTGCTGGTCATAGGAGATACTTATCCATCTATCCCTCGATAGTCCTCACTTTTAGTTCGTTACCGCCAGCAAAGGGAAATCTTGGGCACAGACAAAAACACTTCTTCCTCCTTCCTGCTCTTCTGTGTATTCCCTGTAACTACCTCAAGGAGGGTAGGCTCTGGGAAAAAAAAAGCCTTCATTGTCTTAGGTCATCTATTCCTTTGTCTGTAAACCTTCACTAAGTTTCAATAGCAGTACCTTGCAGTTTTTCTTTGTCCCTTGAAAAGATTTCATAGTGGACCTTAAGATTCATTTTCATATGGGTTGGAAAACCATAGCCCATACCTTGTTTTTAAAGAACGTGAGGAACCTTCCTGACCCCATTTTGAAGGCAGGAGCCATTATTCTGCATTGTTGAAAGTTTCTGTCTCTGTTTGCTGGAACCTGCCCTGCCCCAACCCATGACCTTGTGTGTTTTGGGGGACATTCAAGCCCTCAATCACACAGTGACCATATGGTGATGGCTAATTTTTTTTTCCTTACTGCTCCATTGTCTTCTGCAAACTTGCTTTGCAACTACTTGTGATTTTTTACTCCTTAAAAGGGTCCCGAGAAGCAGACTCAAGGCTGTTCTCTTTAACCCTATGCAGGAGACAGTCACTGGCCAGCTCTGGGGTACACTCCAATAAAAACCAAGCTTGCTTCATATTTGGCTCAAAATTGTGGTAGTGGTCTTTTTCTTGCCTGATGGGCTTGACAAGCACACTGGACCTGTCCCAGGTCATAGAAGCAGACAGTGGCAGAGGCAATTAAGGCAGGCTTCCTGACTCCTTTGCTCTGAAGACAGTTCATCCCACTACAGTGCCGGTCAACTTTTAAAGTTTCGGCATGTGTCAGAAACACTCGAACACACGTGTCTTAATCAGAGTTTCTGTCGTTGATGCAACACCATGACCGCAAAGCAAGTTGGGAGGAAAGGGTTTATTTGGCTTATACTATCATACTGCTCTTCATCATGGAAGGAGGTCAGGACAGGAATTCAAACAGGACAGAAACGCAGAGGCAGGAGTGGATGCAGAGGACTTGGAGGATGCTCACTGGCTCGCTCAGCCTGCTCCCTTATAGAACCCAGGACCACCAGCCACACTGGGCCAGGCCTTCCCACACTGATCACCAACTAAGAACGCACCCTTATAGCTGGGTCTTATGAAAGTAGGTATTTTCTTAGTTGACCGTCCCTTGTTTCAGACAACTAGCGTGTGTCAAGACAGAGACGTTCGTAACATTTATTGAAGGGAAGGAGAGCATAGCAGAAGGCAGAGGCTGCCCGAGGCCTCGCGATTCTATTTCGTTAGGAAGCCCCTGGCAATGTCTACTTCATTTACATGGACCCTGCAAGGCAGCCAGTCCAAAGAGAAGGGAATAATGATTTGAATAATGATCTGAGGAGCAGGAGGGAGACTTTGTCCTATGGGCAGAGAGCCTTCAAATTCCCTCTGTTCATTCACCCTCAACAAAAGGCCAGCCTAGGCTTGAGAGCTTCTATGTTGTCCTTTCTTTAAGTGTTTTCGAGTGACTTATTTTTGCTTTATGTACACTGGTGTTCTGCCTGCAGGTATGACCCTGGGAGGATGTCAGATTCCTTGGGAATGGAATTACAGACAGTCCTGAGCTGTAGGTGCCGGGAATTGAACCCAGGTCCTTTGGAAGGGCTCTTAACCACTGAGCCATCTCTCCAGCCTCTCTTTGTCCTTTCTTTTGACCTTACCTATTCTCTTTGGTTAGGTAAAGTTGTTAGGTGTTTTTGTTTCAGCTTTTGACCCTCCTCTCGCATAGCCCACTGCCCTCGCATATCCAGTATACCTGTTTTTTTCCAGTACTCCTCATTTGGTCCTAACTCCACAGGCTAGAGTGCTGGTTACTCATGTCCACAGCTGGCACCAGGGGGAATTAGGGAAAACGTGGGAAATTTCCAGATTTGTGTTTTAGGACCTACCTCTGCCAGAGCTGGGCAGTGGCAGTGAGGCAGGAGCAGGAAATGGCTGGTAAAACTAGCAGGGATGGAGAGACGGGGTGGCGGGTAGCACTTCAGAGATGACAGACAGGGCCTCGCCAGAGAGGGTGAGGCTGAAGTCCGAGACTTTACCTGGTGTTTCAGAACTATCATATCGGCGCACCGCCTTCCAATCGCAGGTTCGAGAGCGTGCTCTGGCATGATGATAGTGCTCATCGCAGCGTACCCTTCAGACTCCTGAAACTGGCCCTGAGGACTGTTCTCTGTTCGCACACTAGGGCCAACCGCGATGGATGGGTGATGTATAGCCCTCCTTCCCCCTCAGCCTCCCTAGGGTCCCCCACACGGCACTCAGGACACTTCCATCCAACTCTGCGTCTTCCTGCCTTTCTCCAGGCTCTGAAGCCTCTCCCGTCCTCCACCCGGCTCCTTTTCATTTTTCTCTCACGATACCTCCCCTAACAAAAGCCAGGCCTGTTAGCTTTTTGGTAGAGCATTCCTCTCAGAGATGCAGCGTGACACAGACACAGACAGACAGGGCTTCTGGGATCTGGCTCAAGGCTGTGCTCCAATCACGTTCCCACGGTGGGGAGCAGAGAAGTTGCTTTCCCCGCGTCTTCCCTATCTGATGCGCTCTGCTTTTACTGGCGCGCAGAGGGAAATTTTCACTTAGGGTGTGGTAGGAGCTGAAAGAAAGTCAACTTGTGCTTTTAGAAAGGGATGCCGCCGGCCCGGCTTTCCCCCTTCCCGAGGACAGCATAAGAAAGTTACTTTCCGGATCCTTCCCTAGGGTGTCGGGCATTCACAGCGGTTCCCAGCCTTCCCGACGCAGCGACCCCTTTAATACAGTTGTGGTGACCCCCCAACCATAAGATTGCTTTGTTGCTACCTCATAAACTGTAATTCTGAGGCTCTTATGAATCAAAAAGTCAGGCAGGCAGGATATCTGATTCATGGCTCCTGTGAAAGGGCCCACAGGTTGAGAACCAACAGAGGCACCTGCTTCACCCTCCCTCTTAACCACTCCCATAACCCAAAAGACAACCAGGGCCCAAAACTTTCTGTTTACTTCCAATCCTCCTTCCAGCTGGCCTCCTAATTGGACCAGAACTAGATAATTGAGGGATCAAAGCCCCAAGGTTAGGTAAGGAACATTCTGGAGGCAACGAAAATTTGGGGGGGGGGGGCATGGGTAGGAATGTGCCCAGAAACTATAGTGTGGGCCCACTCTTAGTCATGGTGACTTTCCTAACTACGAAGACTGTAGGAAAACTCTTTCTTTTTTATTTAGAAGAGGCCCGGAGCATTTTCAGGGATTCCAAATATATTCACCAGCCAGTTTACTCACAGCAGACACTAGGAAACTTCTTTCTCTGGCTGTTTTCAAACTCTTAGTAAGTACAAGAGAATTTCCAGCTCCCATTCTAACTACGAGAATTCATCTTCAAACAGGCATGTGGAGAATAAGGCAACAAGAGCAAAGGTTTTGTCGGAAACTGTTGGGAAAACAAAAAAAATCTTACTTTAGAATAGCGAGTTCACACAGTCCTCCAGATTCCTTCAGGAGACAGAGTTCAGAGCTTGGTGCAGGAGAAGTCACCTGCTGAAGAAGGCCCTGTGGGAGGTGGAGTCCAGGCTCCGTGGGTGGCATTGCTGATTCCGGTTTCGTGAGATTTTAAGAGGCGGGTGCGCCAGCCTTTTCATTCTAGATGTGTCCAGGCTGCCATCTAGTGGGAAGGACGCGGGACTGCCAACCCCCTGCAGAAAGGCTTGTCTTTTGTTTGCCTTTGGCACTTGGCAGATTCAATGATCAGGAAACCGCAGGTGGAAGACGGCTGGAAAACAAACAAGGAACCCAAGGCACTAAACATTTCAGTCGTCCCAGACCTTAACCCAGAAAAGAAAACATCCCTGTGGCTAAAGTCTAGTTTCTGACGTTAATCTGTCGTGTGTAATCAAGTCGAACACTAATACACCTTCGGCGGGAGACTGCTGGCATCCTGGCTACCCTGGGCCTTCGTGTGGTGGAGCACACTCAATGGGAGTCTTGAAATGAACGGAGCGGAACAGCAGGAAACCAAGCCGGCTGAAGGACACACCTATGCAAAACGGAAGGGCTAGGTCTGGAGGGCCCTCTCGGCTAGGCCGGAGGCTTGTGGGTTAATCTGGCCCGTGTGATCAGGCGCAGCGACTATGTAGGTCACGTGTGAATGTCCTACATAAGTGCGGGACTCGATACACATCTGGCACACTTTGCCACGGCCTCTCGCACGGCGAAGGCTACAAAACAGAGCTATCAGATTCCTAGGCTCCTTTGTCCCCGGGGCTGGCCAGCCACACAGCTCTGGTCACGGAGGCACGGGCTGCACTTTCTGAGGGCTTCTTTCTTGAAGGAAAGGTGATGCCTCGGGAGGTTCTGGCTTCCGCAGCCGTGGGTGGGGTTTGATAGTCCGATACACGCGGGCACCACAGAGTGGGTCCTTCAAGGCAGGCTTGGGGACCTTGGGGTGGCTCACTGCTCCGCGTTCTGTGCATGCAGAGGCTTCCGGCAGTTGCTGGTGTGCGTTTTGTTTATTTGCTGTGAGTGTTACTTGCGACCAAGGTGCTTAGGCATAACAAAAACAAACACACAAAATAGCAGGGCTGGGTTATGTTGGTGAGCGCTTTGGTGTTTTCTTCTCCTTCCGCAAGTGCCGCCACGGGCCCTGGCTTCAGTCTTTTACACCTTACAAAGCCCAGCTTGCTGGCAAATTGCCTGTGATGGAACACAAGTAGATGCAGAAGGAGGAGGAGGATCGCAAACGTTGCCTAGTAACTTCAGGGCCTCCTTCTACATACTACAGAAGGTCCTCATTCAAAACAAGAACCAACCTTCCTCAAAGTGGGGGGGGGGGGGGGGGAGGCCGGGAAGAGCCCAGTTTAAAAATAAAAAGACTATGGCAAAGCCTGTATCTCCACTCAGTAGCTGAGTAAGCAAGACTTGTAAGCTGCTAACCCTACCAGTGTTCTTAGATGGGAAAGAAGGATAAAACAGGAGCTATGTCAGGGATGCGGCGAGGAGGGGGCGGCTGGGGAAGGGCAGCTTGGTGTTTGCACACACCCGCTGGATAAATGTCAGCTTACCGCAGGGGACGCTCAGAGGAGAGAAAGTGTGATTGGTAGTAATAGCTGCCCTTTCTTTTCTGTGGAGGCCCTAAGTTTCTCCCTCGGTATGTGTAAGGCTCCTGCTGGTTTGGTGTCGCTCTTCCCCATTTAACAAAGCTTCCAATGCTGAGTCTGATGGTGTGCTCTCATCGGGCTGTGCTCTCTGCTTTAATACACGTCTTTTCCTCAACTTCCAAAGGTTTTGAAAGAGACTTTAAAAAATGGCTATGAGTCTGAAAGACTCTACTCAGCAGGGTATCAAAGCAGATGCTGAGACTCATAGCCAAACTTTGGGCAGAGTGCAGGGGGAGATGGAAAGACCTGGAGGGGACAGGAGCTCCACAAGGAGAGCAATAAAGCCAAAAATTCTGGGCCCAGGGGTCTTTTCTGAGACTGATACTCCAACCAAGGACCATGCATGGAGACAACCTAGACCCCTTGCTCAAATGTAGCCCATGGAAGCTCAGGGTCCAAGTGGGTTCCCTAGTAATGGGAACAGGGACTGTCTTTGACATGAACTCATGGGCTGGCTCTTTGATCACCTCCCCCTGAGGGGGGGTGTAGCCTTACCAGGCCACAGAGAAGGACAATGCAGCCAGTCATGATGAGACCTGATAGGCTAGGGTCAGAAGGAAGGGGATGAGCATCTCCCCTATCAGTAGACATGGGGAGGGGCATGGGAGGAGAAAAGGGAGGGAGGATTGGGAGGGAAGAAGGAGGGGGCTACAGCTGGGATACAAAGAGAATAAATTATGAAAATCCAAAAAATTGAAAAAGAAAAAAAAAAAAAGGCTATGAAAGTGCCCTGAAAGCCTGGTGTGGTGATGCACAACTATAATCCCAGCACTCGGGGAGGCAGAGGCAGTTGGATCTCTTTGAGTTTGAGGCCAGCCTGGGCTGCAAAGAGAGTCCAGGACAGCCAAGGCTACACAGAGAAACCCTGTCTTGAAAAACAAAAAACCAAAAACCAAAACAAAACAACAAAACAAACAAACAAAAAACCAAAACCAAACCAAAACAGTGCTCTGAGACTGACCTCTGTATCTTTTATATTAAAAAAAAAAAAAAAGAGTTAAATCTAAGACATGTCCTTGTACTTGGGAGGCTGAGGTAAGAGATTATAAGGACAAACTGGGCTTCACAACAAGACTGAATCTCAAAGGAAGAAGAAAAGATTCAGTAGTATGTAGTTTCAATCCTGAAAAAGCAGGACCCCTTCCCCAAACTCAAACAAACCAAAACTGTTTTACATGGAGTTATGATTCAGAATTAAATGTTTTGAGTGAGTGTGTGTGTGTGTGTGTGTGTGTGTGTGTGTGTGTGTGTGAGTGCACGCCTGTGTCTGACTGCGGAAGGCAGAGGACAACCTTCGGTATTGCTCCTTGGAAGCTACCCACCTTGTTTTTTCCAGCAGGATCTCCCAATGGCATGAATAGGTTGGGCTGGCAGGAGAGGGAGCCCCAGGGATCCACTTGCCACCACCTCCTCTGCAGCAGTTGATCAATAAACCTGTGCCACGGTGCTTGGCTTTTTATGCAGGTTTTGGGGATCAGAATATCCTGATGTTTGTGTGACAATCACTCTACTCACTGAGCCATTTCCCAAACCCTAATGTTTTTGGAAAGAAAAATGAGTGTTGGGCTATATAATGTTTATTATTTGCCCTACAATTATTACAGCGGTATTATCTAACCTGCTGTCACAAATAATCAATCAGACACAGACACCTGTTAGATTTGTAATTGCCTTATTTACTTTGGACCGAGCAGGCATTTCTACCTACACTATCTCAATAACCTCACCATCCATCTCCTAGCCCCCATCCAATGCCATCATTCCCATGTGGGCTACCTTCCATCCATAATCCAAAGCTATTTGCTTGTATTCTTCATCTGGGCCTTATCGTGCCATCATTGGAGTCCTTCCTCCTCGCCCACCTGGTTCATTCTCCACTCTAACCCACTGTGACATCTCCCTTCCTCCTCTCTCCCCATCTGTCTCTGGTGAGTCTCCTGTCCTCCAAAGCCTTGAAACCCTAGCCAGCCAACCCCCTTCTGCCCTGCCCAGGTATAGGCTATTTAATCAGCCAGTCAGGTAGGTTTACACAACAAGGATAGGTGTACGCAGGCAGTAACCATCATCAATAAACAAGCATAAGACCAACCCCAACACCCTGGTTTATATATCTTAAAGGTATGATATCAATTCTATAATTTTGTTAATACAAGTTTGTTTTATAACAGTTTCTTCTGAGATTGAAACAATCCACTATGCAGGGAAGCTCCTTAAACAAGAAGACAAAATGTAAGACCTGGGGTCTCACAGCTCAGGAGTTTAAGATTGCGCCCTTCCCAGAAACTCCCCCAGACCAAGACTCGTTGTAAAAGCAAGAGGTTTATTAACCATTGCGCAATGGGGTCACCCCTGCCGGTCAGCAAAGAGTGGCACCGGGAGACAAAGGCCTTTAGGTTTTTAAAAGAAAAATTGTGGGAGATTTGAAGTTGCAGTCTTGGCAATTTAGGATTGGATGAGGAAG